AATTCTCTCTCCAAATGAGTGAGGATTCTTTTAACAGCCACCAATCCTGTTACGGAAGCATAACAGGCATATTCGATAATCATAGCTTCCCTGAAAAGAAAATACAAGTCAGGACCGTTTTCTTTTGCTGATCTTAGAGGGAAAACCTTGCAAAATTGGATTCATCTCTGAGATATCTCATTGTATGAAGACCTGTTTAATCAAAAGCAAGGCTCTTGGCATTTTAGACTTTTCAGTGACTACCCAGCTAATGGGTATGAATGAGAACAAGCTTAGTCTTCTGAGATTAATAATAAGGATTATTTATTGTATTTGGGTGTGTCCGTCATACACCCAGGATGCTTTTATGTTTGTCACACCAATGTAATCATCCAGTTGCTTTTCTCTGTAGTTGGAATGAATAATTAAATTATGCATGTTGTCGATCCTTTGTCATATGAATTTTATGAAATCCCTGGATGTTTGCTTTTCTTTTAAAGCCAAAGAAACTAACCTTCAGCAATTTTGGGAATCTGAGAAAGAAGAAACAGGAAGATGGGGAAGAATATGTTTGTCCAATGGAATTGGGACAGGCATCAGGAAGTACATGTAAAAAAGGATTTAAGCCTGGTTTGGACATGCGCCTGTATGACGAAGATGATTTAGACCGGTTAGAGCAGGTAAATGCAACACTATATACCTATTTGAAAGTTCCTCGTGGAAACTTCGTGCACTATGTCTACTGATCAGTTTTTTCTCAAATACCAAAAAATAAAGATAATGATCAAATAATAGTTAACAACTTCCAGATTGCTTACTATGTCCCAGGCACTAGCCTGAGCATGTAACATATACTAACATTCATGGTGGCCCTAAAACCTACAGAGCATGGAGCCCCCTGGGTGGCTCAGTCGGTTAGGCGTCCGACTTTGGTTCAGGTCATGATCTCACAGTCCATGGGTTCGAGCCCCACGTTGGGCTCTGTGCTGACAGCTCAGAGCCTGGAGCCTGTCTTCTGATTCTGTGTCTCCCTCTCTCTCTGACCCTCCCCTGCTCACAGTTTCTCTCTCTCTCTCTCTCTCAGAAATAAATAAAACATTAAAAAATTAAAAAAAAAAAAAACCCTACAGAGCATGGTTATACTCATTCTCAAGAGAAGGAAACTGAGGCACAGATTCAGTAGCTTACCCAAGACAGAAGAGATGCTAGAAGAACTGGGATACCAGCCTGCCAGGCCAACTTCAAAGCCTGGCCTATTCACCTATGTTATACCATCTCTGGATTAAGGAAATCTGTGTGTTAAATGAAGTCAGAAATACACGGCTCAGTTAGCCTTTTCAGTATGAAGTCATGGATTTGAATACTGCCCTTTAAACACCAGTCCTTCGGTGGCCTTGTCAACATCAGAGCACTGGGCTATTATGTGGCAGTAAAGTATTGTTTCATCTAGTATTTAATGTCCATTGACAGTAATGAAAGGAGGTTTCATCAGAAGTGTTCTGTTGCAGGGCACCTGGATGGCTCAGTTGGTGAAGCATCTGACTCTTGATTTCTTCCTCCCTCCCTCCCTTCATTTACTTTTAGGAGAGCACGAGCGAGGGAGGGGCAGAGAGAGGAGGACAGAGGATCTGAAGTGGGCTCTGTGCTGACAGGCTGACAGCAGCGAGCCCGATATGGGGCTTGAACTCACGAACTGTGAGATCATGACCTGAGCTGAGGTCAGACGCTCAACTGACTGAGCCATCCAGGTGTCCCTGACTCTTGATTTCTGCTCAGGTCATGATCTCACAGTTGGTGGGACTGAGTCCCACGTCGTCTGGCTTTGTGCTGGCGGCATGGGGCCGCTTAGAATTCTTTGTCTCTCTCTGTCTCTCTCTGCCCCTCTCCCTTCCCTTCCCTCCGTCTGTCTCTTCTCTCAAAATAAACAAACATTAAAAAAGAGAGAGAAGTGTTCTGTTGCTCCCATTCTATTCAATATCACTTGCGTTATTTTTTCTTAGACTTTTGCTCACTTTGCTTTCTTTGAAATTGTGCCAATGAGGGGGTGGCTGGGTAGCTCAGTTGGTTAAGCGTCCAACTTCGGCTCAGGTCATGATCTCACAGTTCGTGGGTTCGAGCCCCGTATCAGGTGCTGTGCTGACCTCTCAGAGCCTGGAGCTTGTTTCAGATTCTGTGTCTCCCTCTCTCTCTGCCCCTCCCCCACTCATGCTGTGTCTCTGTCTCTCTCAAAAATAAATAAACATTTTAAAAAAATGAAATTGTGCAAATGAGGAGGTCATGTTCTGGTATGTTCCTTGCAGATGGAAGACTCAGAAGGGACAGTGAGACAGATAGGTGCATTCTCTGAAGGCATCAATAATCTAACAGTAAGTCTATAAAATGAATTTGAAATATTAATTCTCAAAGTAACCCCGAAGGACTACATGTTTCGTGGAGGTTGTGTGGTTCTGAGCTCGTGGCTCCCCGTGTGTGTGACCCCCATCTCCTTGTTTCCCAGCACATGTTAAAGGAGGATGACATGTTCAGAGACTTCGCCGCCCGCTCCCCCAGCGCCAGCATCACCGACGAAGACTCCAACGTTTAAGCCGCAGCCCTTGCTGAGCGTGAGGAGCGCCTCGCCTTTTCTCCACCTTCCTTCTCACTCACTCACAGAACACATAACAAGCAGCAGGTTGTACATTGTCTATAATTCCAGCTTCTCGTGTGGAAGTGGAAGCGGCAAGCGGGGTGTCTGTGCCTGTTCTGAAGACGCCGTGACGAATGAGACACTGGTGAATGAGACAATAATCGTTTTTCCTCTATTTAATGTACAAATCTGTGATATATTATATTTAAAGTATTGCATTTATTATGAGTGTTTTAGCGTCGTGTCGCCATTCCCCTTCACAGCGTGCGGGATGCGGGAAGCAGGAAGCAGCGTGCGGATGATTGTCACGTCCGCGTCCTTCCTTGTGACAGCAGCACAGCCATCAAAGCAGAGTATCGTCTGCTTGCAGAATCAATAGGTGGAATGTCTTTAAGCATTCAGCGTGCCCGCCAAGTGCCAGCCACACCTCCACTTGCCTCCTGTGGTCCTTTTTTATATATTTTTCTAAATATGTGTATATATTTAGTACATAGAAAATAGAACTTTTATCTTGTGACATAAGGCAGATGGTGAAAAGCAAACACAGTGATCAGAATTTTCACGGACCAGCTGGCTTCATGGAGAGGCCGGGATGGTCTGTCCTTCTCCACCACTGAGCTGTAATGCTGTTGATCATTCCGACTAAATCGGTATATTTGAAATCCCCCTTCTTTGGTGACACATCATGAAATTGTTGAAGAGTTAAGCAGTTCAACCTTCATCTTGGATCCTGTTACCTGCAAAGGAAGAACTCCAGAGATATTTAAATACTGTTAACTTGAATGCATGCAGGAGTTCCCCTAAAATGTAGAAATAGAAATGATTTCTGAAGAAACCAAACCAAAACAAAAACCTTTACAGTATTAAGCTTCTTATTTTCCTCTTTGCTAAATGGTTCATTACATCAAAATACTACCAGTCTACCTTACGTTATTCATCGTACATTTCTCAGGCTGTCAATGAATGGGATTTTTTAAAGAAGCTGACTCTTTGAACATTTTGTCTCAGAATTCAGTAACTCTGAGGCTACAAAAATGAGTTTTATAATGACTGTGTTGTGATGAGAAAATGTAGTTCACGTTTTTCGATAGCACAGGGCCGAAATACCGCTTATCAAGAAATAGCTGTGTTTATACTTTTTGAGGGGTATTAGAAAAACTGTTCTGTATTTTATTCACTACTACATCACTTCTCATAATAGCCAACTTGGGAAAGACAGGTTTTCACAAACTGGCCTGGACTGAGCAGTTCAGTATATGCCAGTGGACTCGCTTATAAATTGTTTGAATGTCAGTGCTGCGATCTCGCAAGCTATTAGCAGGTTATCCAGCTTTTCAACAAGGGCCTGTCAAACTAAATTGCTGTTTATTCATTACTCAATTGATTTGATGCTAATAATGGTCTTTTGCTCCCTACTAGTCATCGTTTGGCAACTGTATTGGACTCTTACGTATTAGTGCTTTATTTTAATGTGAACATCTGTCACCATTTGAAAATTTCAATTTCTTATTGAAACCTGGTTAAAAAATACCAGGAGACTGTTACAGATGCCAAATATTCTTTATTCAGGACAGTGTAACATAACTGATGATATGTGATAAAGTTAAGATTTTTTTTGACGATATATATTTTATTTACAAAATATTGTACACTGCTGGTATTACCATACGAAAAGAAATAAAGTCAATTGATAATTGCCTCATTTTTATGGTCTGTTACCTTATTTCCCTTTGTTCAGGATTCCCATGAGGCTTTATTTCTGGTATAGAGAACAGTGACAGATATGCTTTATAATTCACAAACTCCCATTCATTTATTGAGGGGAGGGTTTCAGGATGTATCAACAGGTAGAAATCTGAGGACTTGGAGGAATTTCTCTATGAAAGGAAATAGGCTGCTGGGCTGGGGGGTGAGGAATCATGGAGGAGGGGTTATCGGAAAAGCAAAGAGAGATGACTCACCAGCAAAGCTGAAGACGTTAGGTGTAGAGAAGGAGGTGTACAGTTCTTCAAAAACCTGAATACTATTTTTAATTTAAGTAAAATTTGAAAAGTAGAAACCTGTCTTGGAAGAGATTGCCAAATATTAAAAGTCGAGTGACTCGACCTAGAGAGGAACAGATGTTTTTGGTGAGGGTTAATCGTCTCTGACTTAATAGGCCGGCAGGAGTCTGTATGAAAACAACACGCCTCCTTGGCAAACAGGGAGACTTAACGTGTTTGTTTAGCTGTGTGTAGATATGCTTAGCTGCCCCACACAAATGTCCAGGCGGAAAACTGGGACCCTCTCACCAGATGTGACTTTGCTGTAAGATCTTTCATCTGAAACAGAAGTCACTCTGGATGAGGACGCCGGGTGTGATCTCTGGAAGCAGCACTGACTGGGTGCAGAGAACATGGGGCAGAAACCATCACGACAGCCGGCTCTGAATGACAGCACAGAGGTTTTCAGTGTCTGCGAGGTGGTCAGTGAGGCGATAGTCCACGCGGCCGAGAAACTGAAGGACTATCTCGGATTTGAAGACTCTCTGAGCCCACCTATGCCCAGCTGCGAACACTCTGAATGAGATCTTCCTAGTCCACTTTGTCACCTTCCGCCAGGAAAAGGGGGTTGATGAGTGGCTCACCACCACCAAGATGTCCAAGCACCAAGCCGTACTGTTTGGGGCGGACTGGATTTGGACCTTCTGGGGATCCGATAAACGAATACGGCTGCAGCTGGCAGTGCAGACTCTGCAGATGTCTACTCTTCCTCCTGCGCAACCTAAGCCTTGCGACTCCTCACATCCAGAATCCAGGCCAGAGGAGTCTTCCAGGAAGAGGAGTCGATCTGATAAGCTGGAAGGTTTCTGTGACTTGACAGGAGAGGATTGCCTGGGTCTGTTTATCAGTTTTGGTGTGCCTGGAAAGCCCAAAGACATCAGAGGAGTTATCCTGGACAGTGTCAAACGTGAGACAGCGCCGGGCCATCTGCCAGGAGCGAGGGCCGTGGCGCGATTTGTCCTGGAAACTGAAGACTGTGTCTCCATCAGAGAGCTGCTGGGAATCTGTCTGAGTAAGAAAGATGGGCTGAGAGAAGTGGGCAAGGTTTATATCAGCATCCCCTGAGCTGGATGTGCGTAACTAGACTGGCCTGTAAGACAAAAAGAAAAAGTATTTTACTCTAACGGGCATGCTCGTCCACTTGCATCATCCCAGCATGGGATTTTTTTTTTTTTTTCCAACCCACCCTCCACTGAACAAAAATGATCACCTGGGTCAAAACATAGAATGTCATGCGTAGAGAGGGAGAATCCTGGCCTGCATTGCAGGGAAAAGTTACGATTTCCTTTATTCGGTAATAAAAATGGGAGGAGGGGATAATAAAGTCACCCTTAAAGTTTGATTTGCTTTAAAAGAAATGCGTCTCTGTTTATTATAATAGGTCTAGAACTTGAAAGTGTAAACTATATTTTTACTGCTGTGGGTGGAAGGTGGGTGGGGCGAGGTGGTGCCATGCATTCTCACCGGCTACAGATCAGGTTTAATTACTTCTTACAGTTTCACTTCAGGACCCCTAAGCAATATCTCATTCCCCTCTCTTCTCCTAAGCTCTGCCTTTGCTCCCAGCTCATCCCCAGCTGCTTTCTCTGTGCCTCGAGGATCTTGGTGGGACTCATGTGGGTGTCAGGTTTCTCTAGGAATTTATTTAAACACCGTGACCCCTGCAGCAATCCCTTGTAATGAATGATTTACATTTGTTTGGCACCTGCAGTAAGTAAAGTGTATTCACTTTCAAAAACCACCTTTGCTTAAAAGCCTGGGTAGAATTCTATAAATACTGTAAGTACAGGTTACTGTACTCCCTTCTTTAATAGAAGCAAAGAAATGCTTAAAAGTGTGAAAGATTCATTCACATGATTGGTAAATATGCCTATTATATGTTAGGCCCTGTCCTACACCTTCCCAATCCAGCAGTAAAAAGAACAAAGTTCCTACTCTTGGGCAGTCTCTCTCTTAATGGCAGAAGACTGTCCATAAAAAAAAAAAATATGTGTGTATATATTTAAAATGCATGGCTGGGGCGCCTGGGTGGCTTAGTCGGTTAAGCGTCTGACTTTCGCTTAGGTCATGATGTCACGGTTCGTGGGTTCAAGCCCCGCGTCGGGCTCTGTGCTGACTGCCAGCTCAGAGCCTGGAGCCTGTTTCAGAGTCTGTGACTCCCTCTCTCTCTGACCCTCCCCTGCTCACGCTGTCTCTCTCTCTCCTAGAAATAAATAAAACATTTTAAAAAATAATAAAATAAAATGCATGGGGCGCCTGGGTGGCTCAGTCGGTGAAGCATCCAATTTTGGCTCAGGTCATGATCTTGAGGTCTTTGGGTTTGAGCCCCACATCCGGCTCTGTGCCGACAGCTCAGAGCCTGGAGCTTGCTTTGAATTCTGTATCTCCCTCTCTCTCTGCCCCTCACCCACTTGTGCTGTCTCTCAAAAATAAATAAAACGTTTTTTCAAAATGCAGCTTAAAGAATCAATCAGGTGTTACGTGAAAATAAAGCATGGATAAAGGGATCAAGGGCAAGGAGGTCCTACTTTATATGGGGTGGATTAGGGAGACCTCTAAGAAGCGGGTAGTTGACCAGAGGTCTCAACAAAGAGGGAAAAAACATCAGTGCAGATAAATCTGGGAAACAATGTTCTAGGCTTAGAGAGCTGCAAAGGCAACGGGCCTGAAACAGGAGTGGAGGTAATGTGATTGAAGGCATACTTGTAGGGACTTGATTTTATTCTGCGTGATAAAGGGAGAGAAATGCCTTGATCTGGTTTACGCTTCCAAAACCTCACTTGATTGCTGGGTGGAGACGAGATTGTAGGGAGGAAAGAGTGAAAGTAGAGCTCATGGGAGCAGCAAGGAAGCTATTATGATAAGAGAGAAAAGGGTGGCCTGGATCAAAGTGGTACAGGAGGGGGGATGAAAAGGTCAGATCTAGGAATAGTTGAAGGTAAAGCTTAAGAGAGTTTGCTGGTGATTGGATGGAGGATATGAAATATATCACTATTAGAGTGCTGTATCCCCAAATTTCTTAAATATTAAGGATGTATGCAAAGGAAGAAATAAAGGCATGCACTTTGTGCCTGGAAGGTTAAGATACCCAATTAATGTTTCCTCGACATATAGTGACTCCTATCTGTAGCTGTGTAGATTAAGCTGTCAAAAAAGTGGTTACTCTAGTAAAAACAATCTGCAGCTTGAAATCAGATGTAGGTTTGAGTTGAATTATCTTAAGAGCAGAGTCTGGTGGGGGCGCCTCGATGGCTTAGTCGGTTAAGCGTCCGACTTTCGCTTAGGTCATGATCTCGCGGTTCGTGGTTCGAGCCCCGCGTCGGGCTCTGTGCTGACTGCCAGCTCGGAGCCTGGAGCCTGTTTCAGTCTGTGACTCCCTCTCTCTGACCCTCCCCTGCTCGTGCTGTCTCTCTCTCTCTCTCTCCTAGAAATAAATAAAAAACATTAAAA